TCATGACCGTCCCCGGGGAGCGGACTCTCCTCATGTCACAGGACCGCTCCGACGGTCAGCGCGTTTATCCTGGGCTTGCTGACCTGGGGCTGCAGTGGGCGTTGCCTCCAGGAGGTGAACCCAGCCTGAGAATGGGCCAGGAGAGGGACACAGGACCTCAGACCCCCCGAGACACAGACAAACCGCCCAAGGGGACAAGAGCTTCCAGAAGGCAGGGAGTCTCATGTTCTTGCACCTGCCATGTGTTTGGTGCCTACAGACTATTGTGGACTGATGGGCAGGGTCCCTGGATCCAGCTGTCTGTGGAGCCCATCCACACCTGGACTTCTCAGTGACGTGGGCCGATCCAGTCTGTGTGTGTGCGCGCGCACATGCATGTGTGTTTCAGTGGGGATTCTGTGTGTGTGTGTGGGTGTGCACATACATGTGTTTCAGTGGGGATTCTGTGTGTGTGTGCACATGCATGTGTGTTTCAGTAGGGATTCTGTGTGTGTGTGTGTGCACATGCATGTGTGTTTCAGTGGGGATTCTGTGTGTGTGTGTGAGTGTGTGTGTGCAGATGCATGTGTGTTTCAGTAGGGATTCTGTGTGTGTGTGTGAGTGTGTGTGTGTGCACATGCATGTGTGTTTCAGTGGACATTCTGTGTGTGTGAGTGTGTGTGTGCACATGCACGTGTGTTTCAGTGGGGATTCTGTCGCTTGAACCAAGGATCTGACCAGTGGGGGAACTCAGACCTGGGGGAGGCAAAGAGGCGTGTGCAGGTCCCTGCCCTCAAGGTGCACTAGGCCGGTCCTGGTGGGGTGACCGTGACATTCTCTCGGCATCGGGAGGCAGGACAGGGTGGATGTTTTCGCTGCTCCAAGGTCTCATGGAGGCTGTTCAGCTGAGGCTCGAGGGAGGGTGAGTGTCCAAGACCTGTGCCCGAGTGAGAACACCCTGGCCCAGGGTTTAGACCCAAGGCCTGTGACTCAGCAAGGGGCCTGGTTTCCGTTGCCAGTTCATGGGCTGATCCGAGCAGGCCGTTGGACGGAGAGGCTCAGTTCCTTGACGGCTGTTGGCCAGAAGCTGCCCTCAGCCCTGGGCTGGTGGGTTTAGGTGAGAGGGGCGGGGCGTCCCCCTCCTCCCCTGGCCCCGCCTCTGCTCCAGGGCCAGCCCTGCAAACTTTTGGGGCTTTTGTTAGAACCATCAGGGAAGGGACGCGCTCTCTCTGCTGGGATTGCTGAATTCATCAGCTATGAACCTGGAACTGCCGTTATTTTATGCCCTGGGAATGAACGCAGAGGTGAGAAACAGGAAGCAAAGAGGAATGGCCTGCATAGCATATCTGAGCCCCAGATCCGCAGAGTTGAAGGCGAAGACCCCTTCTGGGACCCCCTCACCCCCCTTATCCCTGTCCCCCGCCAGGCTAGACCACTCTCGGGTTTCTGTCCTTGTCATCAAACGTCTGATTGCTGTCGATGAAACCAATCTATAATCTAGAACAGACTCTCTGGTGGAGAAAGCAGACTGGCTGCCTCAGGCTGGGGACGGGCGGCGTGAGGGGCGGCATGTCCTGGGTTCACTAGGACACTGCTCTGTCTGGGGTGGATGGAGACAGTCCACGTGTTGACTTGGTGAAGACCTGGCGTACACCCCTGTGGAAGGTCACTGGCCTGTGCGTTAAATGGGTGTGTTCCTGAGTGTCAGTCAGACTGCGAGTGCACCAATGAGGAAGATTTGGAAAGTGTCTGTCTGGCTGAGCGCGTTAGCCCTGCAATTGCCAGGAAACTTTGCGCTGGCGTTCCGGCTCCCTGAGCTGAGTTTTCCACGCGTCTTAATGTGGCGAACTGTGCCCTGTGGGTCCCTCCAAGAGCCCCCGCTGGCTTAAAATACACGATTGTGCACGTATGCCCGGTTGTCCTGGTCTGGGAGGATCTCTGCTGCGTGTTTGCACGGCTTTGGCCTCGGACCGGCCTTCTCCCCGCACAAAGAGGCTGGACCATCAGGGCACCGGCAGTCCGTCCTGCCTTCTGCACGAAGCCTGTGGTTCTTGGGGAGGAGGAGTCCAAGGATTGTGAGCCAAGCTGTGCTTACGCCAAAAGATCCAGGGTTTTAAAATTCTGGCGTGCGGTAGAAAGCCTGTTATCGCAAAACCACAGCGGGCAGGGGAGTCGAGAAAGCTGGGCGCATGCCAGGCAGGCGGGGTGCGCGCTCCGAGATGGGACGTGAGATGAGAAGAGGCCTCGCTCGCAGGCTGTTTACTGTGCAGTCTGCGGGACACGTGTCCGCTCCCATCCCCCTCCTCGCTCCGGCCGCCGCAGCCTGAAACGGGGCTGTCCCTCTGGTCTCAGTCCAGCAAGGACGGTCCGGAGTGTCCTCGGGCTGGGACGGGCGTCACCCCGAACCCCAGCCCCCGGTGATTTGCTGGTGGGAGACATAAAGGTCAGAGGCCTGAGTTTCCAGGGAAGCAAGACGGTCACTGTGCGGAGCCTGTGGACAGCGCCTGGGGCTCCAGCCGGGACTGCCCACCTGGCGGGACCGACCTTGGACGAGGAGCGCCATCTGGGAGCCCGGCTTCCACGGCAGGCGCCGCAGGTGCTGCCACTGAGCCCGTTGTGAAGATCAAATGGGATTTGTCGACGGACCTCTCAGCACAGGGCCCACTGCGCACAGTAGGCCCCTTTAAATGCCTTAAATCCCCTGTGCGTGGGCTGGACTGTCCCCGTGAAAGCCTCTCCTTCCGTGGCCACTTTCTCCTTCCCCTCCTCCTCGCATCCTGATGCCTGAACTCAGTACTCGAGGAAACAGGCACAGCAAGACCAAGGTCCCGTGCCGGGTAGAGCCCTGTCCTGCCCCGGCCCACCCCGCCCTTCCCCTCCCAACCCTGCATGTCCCGTGGGGCAAGGAGTCGGGCTTAGTACTACCGGGGAGCCCAGCAAGGGCACCAGCTGTGATTCTGTGGGCCCGCGGTTGACAGGGGAGAATGGCTAGCTACTGACTCCAGACAGTTTTGGGGTGCACATCTGTGGTGCCCAGGGCCCTCGCCTCCTGCCTTTACTAACACCCAGAAAGAAGGCGGCTGGGGGGGGCGGCTGGGGGCCCAGCTGTGCTGCCTTAGGGGTGGGGCGGGGTGACAGGACAGCCCATGGCCCACCCCGTGTGGCTCCCTGGCCTGCTTGAATAATTTAAAAATGGGGGAGGAGGCAGGCAGGGAGTGGTGGAAGCCTGCAGCCGCTCAGGCTGTGTCACCTGGACGCCTCTCTCCTTCCCGGAAGGGAGGTGGGCCAGGTGCGGCCAGGAAGTGCAGAGGTTCTCTGGGGTTGTGGGGGGAGGGAGGCTTGCTCCCCAGCCAGACCGCAGTGGTCGGCACATGAGAAGGGTCCACTGGCTGGGAGAGAGAGGCCCAGTCCCTGGAGCTCACCCCCCACCTGGTGCCCGCCGAGTGTGCCCAGCCCTTTGCTCACCCCGGGCCCGGGTGAGGGGTGCCCACCCACCCACTGGGCCAGGGCTCTGAGCCTCGGCAGGGAGGTCTCTTCACGCTCCTGGGGTGGGTGGGGCTCCCCATCAGGGCTCAGGGCTGGGGGCTCCTGGGTAAGAGTGGACTCCAGGCACCGAAAACCCAGGCCCCCAAACGGCCCCGGGAGGCAGTTCGCCGTGAAGAGTGATCAGGGAAGCTTTGGGTGGATGGCCCTGGTCCTCATGTATGTCCCGGGACCCCACCCGGCTTCTCGGAGTCCCAACCCAACAGGTGTGGTGCCTAGCTCTGCCTTCTGGAATTCTCTCAGTGGTGTGGGAGGGCGCACCCCAGCTCTGGGCGAAGGGCGGTGGGCACCTGTCCTCCATCACCGTAGGCTCTGGGACCACACGGGTCCCCCCTCTCTCCACAGAGCAGTGGCCTTCCTGGCAGGCGTGGCCGGACTGTGGGAAAGGGGAGCGTGGGCGCAATGGCCTGGAGTGCCCAGGAGGGACAGCGCGGGCCACCTGGGGGCCGGTCCTCAGGGAAGTGCACCTGGGTGCCCTGCAGCCCCTGCGCTGGGGCCACAGAGTAGAAAGCCAGCCTGGGCAGGGCCCTCTGTTAGCCGCCCTCCTGCCCAGAGCTCGGACCAGACCCCCCCCCTTCCCAGCTCTCTGAGGAGGAGGGGCCTGCGCCTGCCCTGGCCCCTGGTGCCCCTGCCCTGGGCTCTCCTGGGGCCCATGCAGTGAGCAGGCCCCCCAGAGCTTCCACAAAGTGGCTGGGTGCTCATGCCGGACCCCAGGACCCCGGGGTGGGGCTGACCAGAGGCGGGGAGCAGTCAGGGTGCGTCTGGCTCTGGCCCTAGGGGAGGCCTCCTGAGAGGGCCCCCGGCAGCCTGGCCTCAGGGCGTGGCCGGGATGCAGCCCCCTCCCAGGGGCCTCGTGTGGACCACTCACAGGCAGAGGCCGCAGCAGCCAGCGCAGGGCATGGACCAGGCGGGTGTGATGAAGACCGAGACTCCCAGGGGAAGCAGGCAGGGGACCTGGGTGGGTGAAAGAGGACCGTGGCGTCCACCCAGAGGTGGTGTTGGGCTTGCTCCGGACTCCCTGCCAGGAGAGGGAGCTCGTCAGACCAGCCAGGACCGAGCTGGGGCGGAGCAGGCGGCCCTGGGGGGAGGGGCGCATGGAAAGGCTGTCAGGGCAGCTGGGGAGGGAGCAGGACCGCGGACAGAACAGAGGCAGTGAGATATGACGTTTATTGATGTACACTTGTCTTTCATAATACTTCCTTTGGCTATGCTGGGCCACGGTGCTTGGAGGAGGGCTGGGTGGCCAAGTCTGCCCAGTGCCCGCCTTCCGGTGGGGACTGGGGCCCAGGACTGTCTGGATGGTGTGCAGGCACCGAGGACCAGGCGGACAGCAGCTGGGAACACCTGGTGCCATGGGAGGCTGCCAGGGCTGGCTGGCACGGAGCAGAAGAGAGAGACCTACCCACGCTGGTGGAAGGTCCTCCCGTTTCTACCTGCACCCTGTGACCGGAAACACCCCCACTGAAGTCACCACGGGCTTCATCCAGGGGCACGAAGGTCACTTGCAGAGAGACTGAGGCACAAGGCAGGTTACCCGGAACCCTCTCCCGGTAGCTCCGTTGTGTTCAGGCCCTGCCACCAAGGTCGCCTTGGGAGGCCAGCATGGCGAGGGCGGGGCCCCAGGCGGGAGGAAGCTGGCGGCTGCCGGTGCTGGTGCTGGTGTGCCATTTCCAAGGAGGGCTCGTTTAAAGGGGCAACAGGTGGACAGGGCGGGGTGGCGCCTCTCCTCTCCTTTCCAGACCAGCTTGGGGCGAGGAGAGCCCCCCACCTGACGGGAGAATGGCCGGGGGGGCCTGGCGAGGCCACCGGATCTGTATGCTGGTGGCTGCTCAGTCTCTTGGTCACTCACGGAGCCTCCAGCCCAGGGAGAAGGTCTGAGGGGCGGGAAGCAGACTTCTCCCTGTAACTGGGCACGGGGCAGCTGCCCAGTCCTGTCCCTGGCAACGGTCTCTGGAGGTCTGCTCTGGCCCCTGCCTTCCCTCTCGGTGCCCACCTCTCAGGAGGCGTTCCCAGAGGGGCTCTGCATCTCCATGGTGACCGTGTTGGGGGTGCCAGCCCCGGCCTCCCCCAGCTCGGCACCGTCCCGCAGGGCCCGCTGGAAGACCACCCTGAGCGGCTCCCACAGCCGCTGCGACTTGTCCCTCCCGGCCAGGAAGTAGACCACGGGCTTGGCACTGCTGTTGATACAGATGCAGAGATCTGTGATGTACTCGGGGAAGGGCGCCGGGATCTGAAAGACCCAGAAGAGGAACCAGTCGATCCCTAGGTAGATGGAGGACACCAGGAAGACGGAGACCACAGCCAGGATGACGTGGTTGAGCTTGGCCGAGCGCTGGCGCCGCCGGGCCCGGCATTCCACGTGTATGATGAGCGCCAGGCAGGGCAGCACCATGAGCGGGCAGAAGACCAGGAAGAGCAGGATGCCCAGGAAGATGTCCATGTGTCTGCAGGCCACCTCGGAGGCCTGGCGGCTCAGGAACACACAGAAGTAGATGTGGATGCTGGTGACCAGGAGCGACAGGGTCCAGAGCAGGGCGCACACCACGGCCGACAGGCGCTTGGGCCGCTGGCGCCAGTACCAGGTGGGGAAGATGACCGACAGGCAGCGCTCGGAGCTGATGGCCGGCAGGAGGCTCACGCCTGCGACAAACGTGCACAGCCCCAGGACCCTGGACACGGCGCGGACGTATTCCGCAAAGGTGCCCGCGAAGCCCCCGGTGTTCAGGATGGAGAGCACGGCCTTGCTAAAGAGGTAGCCCACGTCGGCGCCCGCCAGGTGCAGGAAGTAGATGGAGAAGGGGCTCCTCTTGATGGAGAAGCCGAAGAACCAGAGCACCAGCCCGTTGCCCACCAGGCCGCACAGGCAGAGCAGCAGGAAGATGTAGTTCATGACGGGCGGCGGCGGCAGCGTGGCGATCTGCTGGATGGTCAGGAAGCCGCGGCTGTAGAGCTCCGGGGCCTCGCTCGCGCCCGGACACATCTGTGCAGGCAGGGGGCGGGGGGGGACACCTGGTGAAGCCGCTGGGCCCGCCCCACGCGCACCAGCGCCTGCGCACAGGTGTGCTGGGCCTCACCCACGCACCTGCGCCTGCGCACAGGTGTGCTGGGCCTCACCCACGCGTGTGGGGCCCCTGGCTCCACCTAGAGCAGACGACACCCCTGAATCCACAAGGCGCCTCCACTCTGTGACCCAGTCTGGAGCTAGCGGCCTGTAGGAGTGACCGCGAACATAAGCCAGCTCTCATAAGGGCACCGGGTCGCCCCCTGTCAGAATAGACGCTGGTCAAACAATGTCCACGCTCTGCCAGGTAAAGAAAAGCCGAGGAGCCGCTCCAGGCGGAAGGAGGCGGAAGCGACGCGACCAGGCAGTGCAGTGCGGCTCCGAGAGCGCACGGGGGTCTCAGCTGCCAGGCCGCCCCTGGGACGGCTGCAGGAGCAGGGACGTGTTCCCCGAGGTGCAGGCCATGCGGGGCGAAGCGGCTGGGTGTCTGCAGTGCACTTGCACATGGTTGCGGGAGAAACAGGGTTGAAGCGGCTGGGTGTCTGCAGTGCACTTGCACATGGTTGCGGGAGAAACAGGGTTGAAGCGGCTGGGTGTCTGCAGTGCACTTGCACATGGTTGCGGGAGAAACAGGATTGAAGCGGCTGGGTGTCTGCAGTGCACTTGCACATGGTTGCGGGAGAAACAGGGTTGAAGCGGCTGGGTGTCTGCAGTGCACTTGCACATGGTTGCGGGAGAAACAGGGTTGAAGCGGCTGGGTGTCTGCAGTGCACTTGCACATGGTTGCGGGAGAAACAGGGTTGAAGTGGCTGGGTGTCTGCAGTGCACTTGCACATGGTTGTGAGAGAAACAGGGTTGAAGCGGCTGGGTGTCTGCAGTGCACTTGCACATGGTTGCGAGAGAAACGGGCGAAGCGGCTGGGTGTCTGCAGTGCACTTGCACATGGTTGTGGGAGAAACAGGGCGAAGCGGCTGGGTGTCTGCAGTGCACTTGCACATGGTTGTGGGAGAAACAGGGCGAAGCGGCTGGGTGTCTGCAGTGCACTTGCACATGGTTGTGGGAGAAACGGGCGAAGCGGCTGGGTGTCTGCAGTGCACTTGCACATGGTTGCGGGAGAAACAGGGGCGAAGCGGCTGGGTGTCTGCAGTGCACTTGCACATGGTTGCGGGAGAAACAGGGGCGAAGCGGCTGGGTGTCTGCAGTGCACTTGCACATGGTTGCGGGAGAAACAGGGTTGAAGCGGCTGGGTGTCTGCAGTGCACTTGCACATGGTTGCGGGAGAAACAGGGTTGAAGCGGCTGGGTGTCTGCAGTGCACTTGCACATGGTTGTGGGAGAAACAGGGTTGAAGCGGCTGGGTGTCTGCAGTGCACTTGCACATGGTTGCGGGAGAAACAGGGCGAAGCGGCTGGGTGTCTGCAGTGCACTTGCACATGGTTGCGGGAGAAACAGGGTTGAAGCGGCTGGGTGTCTGCAGTGCACTTGCACATGGTTGCGGGAGAAACAGGGTTGAAGCGGCTGGGTGTCTGCAGTGCACTTGCACATGGTTGCGGGAGAAACAGGGTTGAAGCGGCTGGGTGTCTGCAGTGCACTTGCACATGGTTGCGGGAGAAACAGGGCTGAAGCGGCTGGGTGTCTGCAGTGCACTTGCACATGGTTGCGGGAGAAACAGGGTTGAAGCGGCTGGGTGTCTGCAGTGCACTTGCACATGGTTGCGGGAGAAACAGGGTTGAAGCGGCTGGGTGTCTGCAGTGCACTTGCACATGGTTGTGGGAGAAACAGGGTTGAAGCGGCTGGGTGTCTGCAGTGCACTTGCACATGGTTGTGGGAGAAACGGGCGAAGCGGCTGGGTGTCTGCAGTGCACTTGCACATGGTTGCGGGAGAAACAGGGGCCAAGCGGCTGGGTGTCTGCAGTGCACTTGCACATGGTTGCGGGAGAAACAGGGCGAAGCGGCTGGGTGTCTGCAGTGCACTTGCACATGGTTGCGGGAGAAACAGTGTAGCAGAAGGACCGTAAACAGAGCGCAGCCTGTGGAGATGGCCTGCAGGACGCCGGAGGGCGTGTGCCGGGTCCTGCGCTTCCCCTGGGCCTTCTGTACACGTGCGCTCTGTCACACTAAGATGTGGAACTATTTATTAAAAAACACAATCAGCCCTGGCTGGCGTGGCTCCGCTCTTGGAGCGTCGGACCTCGGACCCAAGGGGCATGCGTTCGAGTCCTGGTCGGGGCCAGTACCTGGGTTGCAGGTTCGATCCCCGGCCCCAGTTGAGGTCGTATGGGAAGCACCAATCCATGTGTCTCTCTCACGTCAATGTTTCTCTCTCTCTCTCTCCTTTCCATATCATCTAGAAATCGATGGAAAAATATCCTTGGGTGACGATTAACAAAAAACAACAACAAAAAAAATAAAATCATGTGCAAGTTACAAAAAGCAAAGAGTGGGCCTGGCTCCTAGTAGGATCAAAGAAGCGGGGGAGTCAGCCCCCTGCTGGGCCAGGGGGACCCTCTGGGATCTGGATCTGGTCCAGGGGGCCCTGGGGACAGAGAGGCGAGGCGGTGGCTGTTTGTCACACTCTAGGGGCCACTCAGTATTTTAACAATTGTTCAGCTGAGTGTCAGTCTGGTCTTCAGGGTCTGGTCTGGTCTGTAAGTGCTAGAAGGTGGGCAGGTGCAGGAAACGGATGTGTGGGGTGGGCACGGAGGCAAACTGGAGAGCACCCCTTCTGAGTAAGCGGGCAGCCGCTCCGCTCCAGCCATGACCGTCCGTCCCCCGTCCCCAGAGAAGCCAGAACTCCACATTGTAATGTGACCATCCTGACCCTTACATGTTCACATGTAAAAAGCCTGTGCGGGCCACACACAGCACACCTACATGCTGGGGGCGTCACCAATCCGTCTCACACTCTTGACCACACAGCCGGAGCCTGGCCCTGGCCCTGGCCCTGGCCCTGGCCCCTCCCCCATCTAAGGCTGGGTGTCAGTTCCCATTGCTCAGGACTCTCCAACGCAAAACAGACGGGAAGGTTCTTGAGGCAGGACAGTCCTCCCCCGTGGCCCCCAGCTCTCTGGGCCTGACACCCCATAACAAAGGGAGGGGCCATTTGAATTGGGCCAAGGGAAATCTACAAACAGGGACTGGAGGGTGTTGGCCAAACTTTGGGGAGCCTTCATGAGGTCACTTAAAGGGGGGTCCTTATTCACCACTGACCATCCTCTAAGTACATTCATTGGCTCCACATCTGCCTGTCAGCCCCCAAGCCCCTAGCGCACTTTTATTCAGTCTTTCCTGACCTCTCCAGGCCGGAGTGGCCTCTTACCAGCCCCCCTCAGCTCGGAAACGAGAGCGGACTTAAACAAGGCCGCGGAGGGCCAGCCTGGCGCCGGGTCTCAGGGAGCAGATCACGCCGCGCCTGGCCTCCGCAGGCTGGAAAAAGCCTGCAATCCCGTCGTCAGAGTCAGAGCGGAGAGCTGGGTGAGTCACTGGGTGTGAGGCTGCCATCCCTGACACATACCCCTTGTACAATGCCTGCTCCGGAGCCTGGCCCCTCCCCGGCTCTGCCTTTGTCAGGGATTTCTGGAGACTGCCCCCAGCCACCCATCTCTGCCCACCACGGCGGCCACCCACAGGGGCCAGGGGATGGGGTCAGGGTCCTGGGCAGGAGTCCTGGCTCTGCCCGACCTCCAGCCTTCCCCTAGCCAAGCCTTGAAGCTAGGGGGCGCCTCAGTTTCCCCCAAGGCCACACTAGGTCGACTCCAAGTTTATTTCACCTTGAGTGTGTTTTGCCTGAATTCAGAAGGGAATTTCAGAGTGTACAAGGGCCTCTGGGAAGAAGGGGTCCCGGTGGTGGGTTGGGGGTTGTCACAGTCTCAGCCAGGGCGGGTGTCTGAAGACAGGAGGTAAATGTGACTAAGACCCTGGCCTTGGGCTACACTAGCAGGGTGACTCAGGTCAGGCAGCGCTCCGCGGACCATGTGACATCAGGGACACCTGGTGGCTGTGGGAAGTAGCCGCTCACCCATCTCTGCAGGGGAGAGATGGAAGGAGGTCTCTGGGGTGTTAACTGATGCCCCAAGGGGTTCAGGGATGTCCAGTCCTCTGTGTTTACCTCAATGATGAGGACACTGGGGATCCGAGGGACCACTGGGCCAGGCCGTGTAGTCCAGAGGGGCCCTGCTGCCCACCTGTTGGTCCTGAGCTAGGGGATGGGACCTGTGGAGTAGCGTGTGGGGGTGGGGAGATGCTGGGCTGGGTTTGCCCCCTCCCACCGCCCCTGTTCCACGGACTTGGGCCATGGAGCCCCCTGCTGTGCCCGGCCTTTGGCACTTGCCTTGTTCCTGCTGGTGGGATGGGCCTCCCAGGAGCAGTTGGCAGCCATCGCTGGGCCCGGGGAGTCCAGATGCCACACGGCTCCGCTCACAGCTCACTGGCCGGCACAGCCCACCTGCAAAGGCAGAAAGGGCCACATCAGGGCAGCAGTGTCCTCCACCCCTCCCCAGACCCTGTCCCCAGGCCCCTTGGGCTCTCACCTTAGAGGAGAGAGGCTGACAAGCAACCCCCGGCTCCCTGAGAGGCAGAGCCGTGTGGGAGGCTCGCGGATCATTCTGCTGAGTCCAGAGCAGGTCATCCTCCTGCCTGGGTCCCTCATTCACACCCCGCTGACATGCTAGTGGGAGTCACGTATATTTCTGGGCACCTCCTTTGTGCTCAGCCCGTGGTGGGACACGGGTTCCCTGCAGTCAGTCCCAGAAGGCAGGGAGGCTTCCCGGAGGAGGAGGCCTGTGGCTGGGCCTTGGGTTTGTAACATGCTAAGGTGTCTGGTCTGTCCCCTATAGTTGCCTTGAAGGCAGGACAGCTCGGTCATCATCAGCATCATTGTCGCCACCATCAATCCCTGTGTTGATGACTGCCCGCTGGAAGCTGAGCCCTGTGTCAGTGACCGGCACCCATCATCCCGTTTGTCCTTGCCACTCCCCTCTGTGGGGGACGCCCAGGCGCAGGGCGGTGAGGTCCCCTGCCCAGGGGCACAGGCCGTGTTCACTGCCCGTGCTGTAGCTGTGCAGGCTGGGGTGGGGTCTGGACTGTGAAGGCCGGAGCAGAGGAGGGAGCAAGCCAGGAGGTCTCTGCCGCGGCCCAGGCTCCAGGCTGGTGGACTCAGCCAGGACGGCAGGGCAGGGAGGCCTGGGAGGGGCCACAGTCCCAGGAGGGGGCTTCCCTGCCAGAAACTGGGCCACCCTGGCAGCCTCCTTGGTCCGCCTGCTCCGGGTCCCCAGCCTGGGCTGTGCCACTGGCAAGCACCTCTACCTCCTGCTGTGCAGGTGGGGAGACAGGCTGTGTGCGCAGAACGGGTCTTGGGGGCACAGCCCGGACGGAGGTGAGGTCCCCTCTCGGCTGGAGCGAGCGCGGGGCAGCGGGGGCTCCTCTCCCCCGGAATTCCTTCCTCCGCCGCCGCCCCTCCGACGCCGGCAGCCCGGGGGCGGGGCCCCGGCAGGCGCGCCCACCATTGGCTGGAAAGGGTGGCCGTCTGAGTGGGTTGCCCGCCCCCCCTTAACCCTTGGTACCCCCGAGGCAAGGGCGCAAGTGCAGCCCGGAGAACACGCGTTGATGGGCCTCGAGGTCCTGGACAGCGGCCCGGTACAGCGTGGAGGCTGCGCGGGTGCCCAGGGAGGTCACTCGTGGGGGTGGGAGCCCTGTGCGCACGTGCATGTGGGTTTGCAGCTGGAGAGTGCTAGGGAGTGTGCATCCTAACACCTCCCAGTCCCCCCAACCCCCCAACCTCCCCCCTTGACTCTAGTTGGGCCACTGCCCCATTGCCGCGGGCAGGTCTCCTGCTTCATGTGCTGGGACTTTCCCAAATTCTCCGGGCCTCCCTGCAAACCCCAAATAATCCCTCACCCCATCCGTCCTGGCCCCAGGTCCACCCTGCACGGTGCCCACTCCTCTCAGTGCCCTTCCAGATTGCACCACCCCGAGGTCTGGCCCCGATCGGACTTCAGGGAGGTCCTGACCACAGAGAGCCCCGCCCCTCCACTCGGCAGGTGAGGTGCCCACCACACAGGCCCCAGGGCAGCTTGGACGGAGCCTGTCCTGGGCCCCAAGCGCACCTCTGCCGACTGGGGTGGGTGGGTGCCCTGCATGGCTCTGAGCCCTCGCAGAAAAGCTGCAGCCCTGCAGAGATCTAGAAGCCAAGGGGACCCCAGATGGGCCATAAAAAGACATGTGTGTGGCATGTGCATAGGACATGTGTGAGTGCGTGTGCGTGTGCGCTTCTCAGGTTGGGATTGAGCCTCCGAGAGCTAAAGCAGACCAGAAACACCAAAACCAAAGAAACCAAAGCAAACCAAAGCAAACCAAACCAAACCAAACAACTGCCAGCTCAGCTCGCTCCTGACCCTGCTCTCAAACCCCAAAACCCAAGGATGGGCCAAGCCCACCTGCCTGTCTCCTCTGGCCCCAGGAAGCTCTCATCTCCTTTCGGCACCCCCCAACCCAGTCCCGAACCTATGCCGGACCCCAGGCCAGGCTGTCCTCCGGGAGCCCGGGGCGGGGGCGGGAACCGGACCCCAGGCCAGGCTGTCCTCCGGGAGCCCGGGGGGGAACGGACCCCAGGCCAGGCTGTCCTCCGGGAGCCCGGGGGGACCGGACCCCAGGCCAGGCTGTCCTCCGGGAGCCCAGGGGGGAACGGACCCCAGGCCAGGCTGTCCTCCGGGAGCCCGGGGGGGACCGGACCCCAGGCCAGGCTGTCCTCCGGGAGCCCAGGGGGGAACGGACCCCAGGCTGTCCTCCGGGAGCCCGGGGGGGAACGGACCCCAGGCCAGGCTGTCCTCCGGGAGCCTGGGGGGAACCGGACCCCAGGCCAGGCTGTCCTCCGGGAGCCCAGGGGGAACGGACCCCAGGCCAGGCTGTCCTCCGGGAGCCCGGGGGGAACGGACCCCAGGCCAGGCTGTCCTCCGGGAGCCCAGGGGGGAACGGACCCCAGGCCAGGCTGTCCTCCGGGAGCCTGGGGGGAACTGTCAGACTCCAGTTCTCCTGTGTGCCTTCCTGCTCCTCTCCTTGCCCCTAGGCTGCCACCTGGGCTGGACCTGAGCACTGCAGTCACCCCTCCATGGAGAACCTGCCGTTTCTCACTCCAGCCCCCCAGACCCTAGTCGTCTGCTCACAACTGGTATTGAAGAGGCTTATCTGGGGGGACTGGTACCTTCTAGAAGATTTCACCCAGGTGGCACAGCCTGTATCCAGTGCCAACTTCACCTCAGGTGTCTCAGGCCTCAAGGCAGGCGGGACGCAGCTGTCCAGACTCCTGTGATGGCCGGCTGGTCCCTCCGTATCCACCCCGTACAGGCCCCAGGCTGCCTGCCTCAGTGGCGGGGGGGCGTGTGAGGGGTGCGTGAGAGCGTGGAGTCATCTCACCCAGCTTGGGATGCTGCCCGCTGGGTGTTCCCTCCCCACCCTTCCGGGCCTGGACAGCTGCTGCAGAGGGTGGTGGAGGCCCAGAGGGGAGCCCCCACCCCGGAGGACAGCAGGACCTGGAAGTAGAGGACAGCTTGGGGGCCGGGAACTGCCGGAACACCGGGCCTGCCCCCAGAAAGGGGACTCTCAAAGGTCCCCAATGTCCCTGGGACTCCTGGAGTCTGGAGAGTGCTGCAGGCGGCCCTCAGGTGGTGACAGCCCTCTCTGGGGTCTCAGGGCTCCTGCTTGGGGCTGTGTGGTTTTGGGGAGCTGCCTGCCCCAAGGTGCTCCGCTCACCTCGTCCTCCTTCCCTGCCTGGCCTCTGCCCTGCAGCCTGGTTCCTGGCCCTCCCTCCCCTGGGCCCTGGGCCCCGTGGAGCTACCTGCAGCTGTCCTGATCCTCCAGGGCTGCCCCTCTGTGGAGGGCTCCTTCGGCGATGCCTGCCTCCGGCTGCGACCCACAAGGCAGCAGGCCACGGCCGGAGCCTCAGAAAACAAGAGCCCAGAGTGCTGGAGAGCCCTCGCCTGCTGCTGCAGAAGACGGCTTTGGAAGCGGAACCCGCCCCAAACCCAATTCCAGGCCCGGCGGGAGGGGGAGGAGGAGGAGGGGCCGAGCCGGGATGAGGCTTGGGGAAGGAATGCCCTGCTCAGGAGCCCCCCCACCAGAGCCCCACTGGGAACTCATCTCTCGGCCTGGTGACGTCAAGTTGGCCCGAGCACTGTGGCCGGAGTCCAGCTGTTAATCTCCCGCGCATCCTGGAGAGAGGGAGCGCCCGCTGTCCACTTGCCTGGTGCCTTCTGTCGGCTCCCACTGGGCCTTTTGGGGCGCAGGCCCAGAGGGGCGGGTCTCCACCCGTTCAAATGTACTGAGGGGCTGATGTGGAGAAGCCAGGAGACAGCAGGCAAGGGCTCGGTGGAGGGGGAGGTGCAGGCATTTGGGAGGTAGACTTGGCAGCGGACAGTGCGGCCACCCAGGTGGCACTCCACTCCCCCTCCCACCCCGGAATCTGCCCAGGGCCCCGTGGGCTCAGGGAACCAGGAATTCCCTTCTCCCAGCCCTAATAGCAATCAGATGGCCCGAGTGGAAAATCACGGCGCTCGCCTGGGCCGAGCGGAGTTGGCAGCAGCGGAGGGGCTGTGTGCTCTGTTCCCGGGGAGGGTGAGTCAGCCTCGACTCCCCCGTGAGCACCCTCGGGGTCCTGGGGCACCGAGCCAAAGCCTGGGGGTTCAGGCGCCCCCGGGGTGGCATGAGGATGGGTGGGAGGAGTGGCTTCCCAGGGAGCCCCTCGGGAAGGCCCCTCCTGCCCTGGGCCAACTTTCTCATGGCCCAGGGAGCCGGAGGGAATTCCAACCAGCACTTTCCCTGCAGCAGCAAGTGGTGCCCAGACTGTGGGGTGGGGGGTGCCCCTGGGCATCTTGAAGGGGCCCAGAAAGAGTTTCCCCTGCACCTGCCCTGGGGGCTACAGGCCTCTGCCCCTGGGGGAACCTGATGTCCCTGCCCAAGTGCAGACCTCAGCGTGGGGAGGGAGGGTGGATTGTGCGCTGCCTGGCCCAGCTGGCCTGGGGCGGGGGCGAGGAGGGCTGTGGATGCTGAAGCTCATGGCCACGCCTGGCCTGGGGCGAGAGGCTGGGCGGGCGGCAGGGGCAGGGGCGACCCTCCCCTCCTCCCCAGGGCAGCCCAGCTGGGGCCCAGCTGGGCCCCTTGTTTATGTGGGGAGGCCAAGGGGAGGTGGGGGAGGCTGGAGGAAGCTCAGTGCAGACAAGTTCCAATGTAATTGCATTTGGACACTTAAAAGGAGTTGTGTGGAGTGGGCAGTGGCTGCGAGGTCCGCCGCCTTATTTGGTGCGGAAATGCATCTCCTTCCAAACTAATGAGAGGTGCTTGTAAGTGGGAAAGGCATCCTGCTTCCTGGGTTTGCTGCCGTCGCCACCCGGTGTCCCAAGCTGGAGGCTGGGCTCCTGCGGGACGTAGGAGGGCCCGGCAGGCTGGCAGGGGGGGCGGTCCTGGGCCTGGCTCCCCCGTGTCAGGTGGGGACAATATGACTCACGGAGCCGCATTAGGAAGGGATGAGACGTGGGGGCACGGCGCTCTGCACCTCAGAAAAGGCTCTCCCCAGGAACTTTATTTTTAATTGCCCCCCACCATGGGCCTTGCAGGTGGACTCTGTGGTCCCACGGCTCACCCCATGCCCCCTCCGGCCAGGACCCTCCTTTTCTGGGGGTTCCTGGCGGCAGGGCTGTCTGCTGCCAGGGCCCCGCTGCCTGGATGGCGGGTGCCCTCCTCCCACACTGGGGGTGGCCAGAGCACCTGCTGGGCACCAGGCACCGTGCTGCAGGCTGAAGTCAAGCCCGGAGGCAGGCCCAGAATGAGATGCTGCAAACGCACGTGTAACCACACCTCACAGGAAGCACCCAGGCGGGAAGTGCCAGGGGATCAGGACGGCTTCTCTGAGGAGGTGACGATGGAGCCTGGAAGTGGGGCAGGAGTGAGAAGGGGAAGGAAGGCATCTCCGCTGAGGAAACGGGATGAGCAAAGGCCCTGAGGCAGGAAGGCATGCCGGGCCCGCGAAGGGGGGCTGCGTGAGGCTGAGGGGATGCAGGGAGGGCAGGGGTGGACCAGGCACCCAAGCCTGGCAGCTCTGGTCGGCTCGCCGGGTCCAAGGTCTCAGCTCCCTGCTCTCACCTGTCTGCTGCCATTGGTCGCCTCTGTCAGGGGCAGGTGCGGTGATGATAACAGCTGCAGCTACGACTGACCGTGTCCTGTGAGCCAGAGCCTGCATACATGAATCATTGGATTGTCACGATACGCCGCCACTTTCCAGATTCGTCCAGCGTGTGTTGACTGAGCGCCTACTATGTGCCCGGCACTGCTCTAGGCCTTGGGCATCTAGTGATGAATGAAACAGATAAAGATACCTGCCTGCAAGTGCCCACATTCTGGAAATGAGGAAACTGAGGCCCAGGGGTAACTTTGTGTATCTGTTGGATAAGCCCCCACCCCAGCCTCAGGGTGTGCGCTGGGGGGCTGGGACCTCTCCGTGTCCACATCTCCAGCACTGGGCATGAAACGTCAGGGTGTGAGGGGGGCTCTGGAGCCCTGGGATCCAGCCTGGCTCTGCCTCTGACAAACTGCGGGAAACGGCCTTGGTTTCCCCGATGTGCCGCGGAGAGGGTGGTGGGATTGGATGGTACCCGCGCTCCCTGTCCTGCCCTCACTTTCCACTGGATGGGCTGGATCTTCTCTTTTCCTCGTGAGGAGAGAAGGCAAATGTGTGCACGGTCTTGGTCTCCCAGGTCAATCCCTGGGCCGTTTGGTTTTAACCCTTGAGATAAAAGGTCTCTCCAAGGTCGGGCTAGCTTTCATGATGGCAAAGGGTGAGTGGGACCCTCTCCTCCTCTTCTCTTCCTCCTCCAGCCGGGCTAGAGCATCTGTGTTAGAAGCTGCATCTGGGGAATCTCTGCCTACCTTGTCCTCTATCCCACACGGGAGAGACTGTTTATTTGTCCATCCATCAATCATCCATCCATCCATCCATTCATCCACCCATCATCCATCTACCATCCGTCATCAGTCCATTACCCATTCATGTATCCATCCATCCATTCATCCATTTATTCATCCATTCATCCATCCATACATTCTTCCATCCACCATCCATCTACTATCTATCCATCATCAATCCATCACCCATTCATTCATCCACCATCCATCCATCTATCCATCTTCAATCCATTATCCATTCATCTATCCATCATCCATCCATATGTCCATCCATCCATCCATCCATCCATCCATCCATCCATTCATCATAAGTCCATTTTCCATTCATCTATCCATCATCCATCCATCCATTCATCCATTCATCATCAGTCTATCACCCAACCATCCATCCATTATCCATCCATCCACCATCCACCCATTCATCCATCCATCATTTATTCATTCATTCTTATTTTCATTCAACACAGTTATTGGACACCAACAGTGTTGATCCTGTGGAAAGAGTCAAGACGAGGCCGACACGAAGGGGAAGAAGAATAGGTGATACACAGAAAGAAATGAACGGAAGAATTCCAACTGGGATCATTGCAGTGAGGAAGACGAACAGGTGTGGTGATAGGAAATTATGTGGCGGGAGAGGGGAGGACGTGTCATAGGCTGAGTAATCCTGAAGATGTTGATGACCTGATTCCCAGTTCCTGAGACTCTGTGACCTTCCACGGCAAAAGGGACTCTGCAGATCTGATGAAGTTCTTAGGATCCTGAGATAGGGAGACTAGTTTGGATAATCCAGGTGGGTCCCACATAACCACGAGGTCCTTATAAGAGAAGCAGGAGGGTCTGAGTGAGATGTGATGATGGAAGACAGTCAGGAGATCAGGCAGGGGATGGGATGACCTACGAAACAGGCTGGGGGGATGTGGAAAAGGATTCAGGTAGCCTCTAGAAGCTGAAAAAGACAAGGAAATGGCCTGTCCCCTAGGGACTCCAGAAGGAACCAGCCCTACGGACACTGTGATTTCAGGTTTCTTATCTCTTGAACTACAAGAGAATAAATTCATGTGTGTTGGTTAGAGCATCAATAGGAAGCACATACAGAAGGGCAGAGAGGCCTATTGATTGAGGCTGCTTGAGCTGACCTGAAAGGGGGAAGGAGAAGGAGCCGGGTACTCACTGAGCCCACAGGAAAGCATTCCAGGACGGACAACAGCAGGTGCAAAGGTCCTGAGGTGGGAAAGATCTGTTCATCTGTATTTATTAAAGAATTATACATGTGAATTGATATCCAAACAGGGCTCATTGGTGGATATGCTTCTCTTCCCTTATTTTAATCTGTGGGTCCCCCTGCAGCATCTGCCTCTCCCTTAATCTCTGTCCCCCTCATCCCTGCAGTTGGACAGGAAACAGACACATCACACTATTAGGGAAATAGGGGGTTAATTTATTTATTTATTTTGTTAATTCACACCCAAGGATATTTTTTCATTGATTTTTAGATAGACAGGGAGGGAGGGAGGGAGGGAGGGTGGGGGAGGGAGAGAGAGAGAGAGAGACAGAGAGAGAGAGAAACATCGATGTGAGAGAGACCCAACCAAGGCTGGGGATTGAACCTGCAGCCCAGATACACACCTTGACTGGTATTGAACCTGTGGCCCTTGGGTCCGTGGGCCAACGTCTAACTGCTGAGCCAAACTGGCCGGGGTGGGAAATGCGGGGTTTAACAGAGGGATGTGGGTGGGCTGGGCATGGAAGGCTGGAGGGCTGAGGATGGAGGGTGGAGAGCTGGTCACCAAGCAGCCTGGAGCCAGGTGCCGCCTGAAAGGCCCCGGGAAGCTGGGGAGCTGCAGGCTGCGGCCTGCAGTCAGGGCGGCTCGGCCCCTGGGGGACTGGTGTCAGTGGCTCGGGGGGAACATGAGGGAGGGAGGCAGGGAGGACTGCCCCCAATCCCGAGATCACGCGCGGGCTCCAT